CAGCCCTGCTCCAGCAGTCCCTTGGCCCAGCTGCAGGAGCAGCCACAGAGGACCCAGTAACAGACTGGCCAAGAGGGACAAGTGCTGAGCTGGGAGCCCCAGGCATCCCTGATGAGCTCAGCAGGGAGCTGAGACCTCCTTGTGAGCCAGAACACATGAACTGCAATGACAGCAAGCTGACCTTCCAGCAACATCTGCTCTGTGGTGTCCTTCACCCACTTAACATGTCTACACTACAAAGTAACATGGTACCTACCCAAGACAAGCTGCTCTGCAGAATCGCCCCAGACAGACAGATGCTTGCCAGGGATGCTTGGCTGACTACCCCCTCCGTGATGTGGACCATCTGTGACAAGAGGCTTTTCTGTCATTGCTGCTCCTGGCAGCAGTTTGGCAAGTGTCATGCCGATAACACCTCAAATAATACATACAGGTGTGCCTGTAGGTAAGTGATCATAAGTACATACTTGCTTTACTAGTTGTGATTTGTAGTAACTTGTAGTAAATTCACAGAAGCAAAGCCTCTCTATCCTTGTGTACTACAGCATCCTACAAACCTGCTGTAGTGACATTCACACACCGTGGATCATGTTGCCCACATATGTTGTGGCACTGCCACCTGTGCAGCCAAATCAGCCCTGGCCTGAGGCTCCAACAGGGACACATGCCCTGGAGTTGGCATCACCCAGCTCAGCCTGGTGCAGCCATGCTCACCCCACAGCCCATGCACAGATGATGGGGTCCTCAGCAGGGCCAGCCCTGCACTCAGAAGTTGCTCCCAGAGAAGGGGGAAACCGGCCCAGGGCAGTTCCACATGGCACTTGGCACCAGCCAGCCCAGGGGGAGGCACCCGTGGACCCCTGCAGTGACACCCCATGGAGTGCCCCAGGCCTCCTGCCACCCCACAAGTCCCCACGTGGCCCCCAGCCCGCTGCAGCCTGCACCTGGCCCAGGGACAGGCACCACTGCCCCCAGCAACACTCAGAGTGGTCCCCGCCCTGGTGAGCAGCAACAACCAACACCACCACCCACAGTGGGGTTTTCCTGGGCAACAGCTGGACACAGCCCTGGTGTGTCCTACCCTGATGGACTCTGCCACAGGCACAGCACCTCCTGCAGCATGACCTCAAGACTCCCGTGTCCTGGCCAGCAGCGAGAGCCCGCTCAACCCTGATTGTTTGTGGGACTGTTTGGCCGCTGCTTTGGGCACTCACGAGGCATTGCCTGCAGCTCCTGTGCCCACCAATGTTCCTTGAACAAAGTGAGCACCGGTGCCCCTCACCCAGGCTCGGGGCTGGCTGCTCCTAGCTCCTCACTGCACTGCTGCAGCATTGCCTGCAAGGACAAGAGCCCCATGAGGACCCAGGACCCTGCGGGGGTCAGAGCTCTGTCCCCGGTCCCAATGCCCCAACCACTGCATGTGTTGGGGGAGAAACAGCCCTGGAGAGGAGACCCCATGAGCAGGGATGGGCAAAGCCATGGAGTCCCAGCAGCCCCTGCCAGGATGGGCCAAGGGGTAGAAGGACCCTAAGCAGGAATGACTGTCAGGGGACCCCATAACAACCATCACAGTGGGAGGGGAGATGGGGGCAGGGGGTCTGCAGGAGCCCCCATGCTGGGGACACAGGGCTCACCTGTCACTGGAAAGGGGGCACCCCAGCACTCATGGGTGGCTTTGAAGACCTTGACCCTAGGTGCTTTCAGCTCATCCATGAGCTCCCAGAGCAGCAGAGCTGTCGCTGAACTGGCCATCCGAAATCCTGCAGCTGCCCGTGCCATGGGGGGAGGCTCAGACCCAGCCCCACGCCCCTGCTCCATGCCTGGTGGGCTGCAGGTGATAGGTATTTGGGACCAGCAGCCAGGGGCGAGCGGATGTGACCCAGCACACTTGTGGGCCATGCACAGACCAGCACAGTGACATCTGTCTCCGCAGCAGGCACACACACTTGTCAGCTCCCAGCTCGGGCTGTCACCATGCCACAACCACCTTCTCCTGCTTCTCTGTGCATGTTTTGAGTGTGCAAACACATGCATACGTGCTGTCAGCAAGTTCACAGCCTCACCCCTTCACGCCAGGGATGTGATGGTGCTGCAGCCACTGCGGAAAATGCAACGGGAGTTGCAGCAGGGAAAACAAAGTGGGTGGGAAAGGAATTTTTGACTAAAACCCACTCCTGTTCTGGAGGTGCCAGGGACAGAAGCACAGATGTGCCAGAGCCTGAGGGTCCTGTGCAGCCCCAGCCCACCACCATTCTGGGCAAAAGCACCTTTTTTCTGTTAAAAGCAACAAAGCTTAAACCAATCTGAGCCAGCGCTCGGCAGCTGCAGAGCAACCCCAGCCCCAGCATTACCTCTTCCCTGTTCTTTGCCATGGCAGGTAATGGATAAACCCCTGCACACCCAAGCCCCAGCGAGGTGCAGATTGTCCCAGCTCTTCCACCACAGTGTATTATACCCAACACCCACAGCTGCAGGGGTTTCATCCCACAGAGAAGCACCGCCCACGCGACAGGCTCCTAACAGGGTTTGTGAGGAGGAAGCCAAGTGGGACTGTGATTCCTACACCATCACCATCGCTCCCCCACTGCTGCCTTCTGTGTCTTGGTGCTGGGGATGGTCCAGGCAGAAATGGGGATGGGTTCAGTGCTCTCGGGCCTCTCCGAGCACAGGGTGATGCTGTCACCAGCTCTGCATGCTGCCGGTGTCCACGGAGAAGCTGAGCTGTCCACAGCAGGCTTGGCTTTTGTTTTGTTTTATCTTGTCACTGAACTTTGTGGGCTGGTCTCATTGCAGTGTGGGTCTGCAAGAGAAAGTCTCCTTTATCTGATAACCTCAGCATTGCTCTGACTGCACAGCATATGAAACTACAATGCTGTCCTCTGGTGCTGCAGGAGGACACAGAGAAACAAATAATAACACACAGGCAGGAAGACAAACTCTGCTGTTTATTGCTGGTGTTACGCAGGTAAGGGGGGGAATGAACCACAATCAAGGCAACCCCCCCCGTGATGCATTTCCTAAGGGCCAGGGCAGCGGTGACTCCTGCTCACAGCGGCTCCACAGGGTGTAGCGAGGACAGTGGCATCTGCAATGGGATGGGAGAGGAGGGTCAGGGAGCAGGGCCATGCCTTGCCACACCATGCACATGTGTGTGTATGCGTGTCTGTCTGTCCCCGTTCGCCCCCCCAGTCCTGCCTCACTGGACCCAGGTGGTGGGCCCTGAGCAGATCCCCCATCCTGCAAGAGGTTCCCAGCAACATTTTGCTGCAGGACAGGTCACTCTTGTCACCTGGCCATTGCTGTTTCAGCACCGCACCAACCCCGTGTCTTAAGTCAGCCATCAATGGAAAGGGAGACTCTGGGAACTCACTTGGCTCTGTGCAGCAGTGACTTTATAAACCAGCGCCAGCACGCCCAGCTTACCAGAATATACCCACCTCCTTCCTCCGGTTGATGTCTCTCTTCAGCTGGCAGAGCGCGCACATGGGGCAGCACATGGTGGAGGCGCAGTCACCCAGAATGGAGCCCTGCGGAGCAAGGGACATTGTATGAATAATCCCTTCCCACATCAGCTTTTAAGCGTTCCTGTTTTTCATCGTCAACACCCCTGGGCAGCTCAACCCTGGCCCCACAGCACACTGCCGCTCATGCCCAGTGAGGACTGGGATGAGGCAGTGTGCGATGGGATTACCTCCGGCTCACAGCAGGGATGCAGATGTGTCCCTGGCTCCCTGCCTGCAGGGCTGCCCATGCAGGTCCCTGCCACTGCTCTTCCCCTCGGGCACCCCTTTCTCCTTCCCTGAGCTGGCACCCCAGCACCCAGCTCATGGCTGTCGCTGCCAGCGGGGCAGGCCCCACGGTTGGTCACTGACAGGGATGTTGTATCTGGTGCGGTAGAGCGTCCTCATGGCCACGCTGGGGCCGCACAGGCAGCACTCGTTCATGTCCCCAGCCACTTGGCACCCCAGGCAGCTGAAGCAGAAGGCTCCACAAATACCTGTGGGGCAGCAAGACATGGGCTTGGCTGAGGAGTGCAAAGAAAGAGGAAAGGGGGGAAAACCGGCTGGGGATGCGGCTGTGGGAGCCATGGCTCTTGACCTCAGATGAGAGCTGCTCTGCCACTGGTACCCACAAAAATGGGGTTTGCAGCAGGGGTGATGCCACAGAAGGAGCGGGGAAAACACCAGAAACACATCGTGACCCAACAGCAGGAACGAGGGGTATGTGTGTACTCACACACGCCAAAGTCGGAGCAGCAGTCCAGCAGCCCTGACTGCCACTCGCCTACCCGCGGGGCAGTTGAAAACTGGGGCTGAACTGTTATCACGTGGTGAGAAGCCATTGGCAGCACGGGGTCAGGTCCCTCCAGGCAGTTTGTGGACTGGAAGGAAAAGCCATCAGAGAAAGATGCCGCAGGTGTTTCTGAAGTGGGTGTCTTGCTCAGGCTGCTGCATTCAAAGACAGAGGGCAGCACAGGTCCTGAGGTGTCCCCACTGCCAGGGCACTGCCACCCCCACTGGGCAGTGGGGGGCACAGCTGTGCCAGGAGCTGCTGCTGTCCTTTGCAGCAAAGCTCTCCCCAAAACCAGCCCCCCACCAAAGGCAGCAGAACCTCATCCCCCTGCCTATGCAAGTAAAATGCCTCTGTAAGAAGAGGTCCTTCTGCTTCAGAGCCTCAGTGCTTCAACACTTCAATCCTGTCTTCTCATCCCCAGTTCATCTTTCATCATTATCTGCTTAAAATGGTAATTTTTTTTTTATGTTCACAGTGTCCCAAAGCTACTACAGCTCAGTCCTAGTCTTTCCCAAGCTCTCAATAGTCACCTTAATCCTTGCTTTGTTCCCTGAACATCTCAGCCTGTTTGCCTCCCCCTCTCCCTTCCTTCTTCACCTGCTTTCTTAGCAGGCTTCAAGGCAGTGGGTTTTCCTTGTCCATCACCCTAAGCCCAGTCACCAGTTCCCATCCCTCCTCCACTTGCCTATCTGTGCCAGTGCCTCGTCCTCGTCCTCCTCTCCCTGAGTTCCCTGGGGCCACCATGGCCCCTGGAGCTCCACTCCTGCCCATCCTTCACCAGTGAAGGGCTGCAGCCTCTGAGAGCAGCAGCAGAGCTCCTGCCCTGCAGCACCATCCCCAACCTCACCTGACCCATGTAACGACTCCACCTGCACCTCCATCTCCACCTCCAGGTGTGGCCCCTTCCCTCCCCGCTGCCACCTGCAAGGCACAGCACCACCCTCTGCCATTCTCACTTCAGCTTCAGAGCTTTAATTTAAAAAAAAATAAAATAGAGGATGCTCTCATAGGAACTTCCATACAGACACTTCCTGCCCTGTGCCCAAGCTCGGCACCGCTCTGCTAAGCAGTACAGGGCTGAGGTGCAAAGGCTCCCGTGCTCTTACAGCTACAAGGGCGCTCTCCTGCTCCCAACGCACAGCCACACATCCTCAGCAAAGAAATCATCAGCAGGAAAGCAGCCTGAACTTTGGACCCTGTAACGGTGGGCTGCTGCTCCTTTGCCCGGGAAGGGTCCCAGGGCAGCTCCCCAGCGAGGTCCTCTCCAGCTGCCACGTCCCTGCACGGTGCATGGGCATTTCCGTGACGGGCATTACAGGTGTTTAACAGAGCACTTTTAGACAGTTCGTGTCCTGCCTGCCCCTGCCCAGCTTTAACACGTTTGTCCTGCCTGCACAGGCAGCACCGCTTCTTGTCTGGGTGACAGCCCCGGGGGGGGATGCCAGGCAGGGGCAGCATGGGGGTCCCATGCAAGGACAGGGATGCCTAGCAGCAGGCAGGACCGCAGGGACCACAGGGAGAAGTGTGTGCGGGTGCAGCAGCAGGAAAAGGTTTAGGGGCAGGACCCCACCAGCCTCCCATGCCAAAGGAGGTGCTCCCCCACTGCTAGATAACGAGACTAATAGCAGCGCACAATGAAAATGCAGATGGGCAGTGCTCACTGCCACACACACGCTGTGCCTTTTGCAGGCAGGGCTGACCACAAACTTTCCCTTCCTCTCCCCAAGTACCAGCGCACCACATCCCTGCACAGATGGAGGCTGCGGTGCAGAGCAGGCGGCAGCCTGGAGAAGCCTCCACCGCACGCTCATCTACTGAGAGGTGGCCCAGGCCCAGCACACCCAGCACATCACCCCGAGTGCCCCCAAATCTACAGCTCCATGGCACCACCAGCAGTGTTGGAGCGGCTGATGGGAACAAAATGGATCCTGAGGGGCGCGCAGCCACACTTCACCAATAACCAAGGTCATAAAGCAGCATTTTGTTATGTATAGGCACATGTATATGTGCACAAATGAACAGTACAGTGCAAAAGTTGACGTCCTTTACCTCTGCTGCCCACTTCTGTTGAGATGCCTGTCAGCAGCACCCAGCACGCTCCGATTTAGCTCTGAAGTAGTTTTCCAGGTAGAAAAACCTCACCTCTGTTTCCACCCTTTCCCTTTCTCCAGCAACACCACTTCAGCCACAAGTAGTTTCCATAGTTTTATACTGCAGCTCTTGCTGAAGCAAAGCCAAGCCATACGTACCTGCTGAGCCACCCTTGTCCCAGGAGACGCATATCCTTTTCCTGATTCTCATCCTTTATATGCTCTGGGTGCTCCCTGGCGAACGACCTCTGCTGCCTCTGACTAACAAACCAGATACCGGCTTAGGTGCTGCTTTGCACAATTGCAGCTTCCCTGCTGAAGGCAGCCAGCTGCAAGCTTGCTGCAAGCTTGCTGCTGCTTCTGCAGGGCTCCTGCTGCCCCCCCCCCACCTTTCCCCACCCCAGCATCCTGCAGGCCCAGAGCCCCGATGGGACATGCTGCTTTTGGTAGTGGTTTTCAGAGAAGGACAGTTTGCATTCAGGCTCCTGTGCTGCCTTAAGCAATCTGCTGCTGGAGCTGCAGCACCTTTCTTTAATTGAGCCTGACCATCAGCAAGAACTGACCTTAACTCCATTGGGTGACACAGGCAGTGCCTCGAGGTACAGCTAGGAAATCATACCACGCTGTGCTGGGATGAGACAGCAGCATTCTTCTCTCCCCTTCTCCACATTCCTGGCTGTCATGGTTTAACCTCAGTCGGCAACTGAGCACCCCCCCCCCCCCCCCC